CGCCTAATGGCTGTCAAACGATGTTTTATTTTAGTTTTAGCTTGGAAAAGGTAAAAAAAAGCGTATGTAACATATACAAGCATGTATTCTTCATTTTCGTCGTCTTCATTAAAACTTAAATTTAAAACGTCACTTTCTAGTAACAAATTTAAAACATCAGCCGAAATAGTGACAGATTTTGTTTATTCTTCCTCTTCCTCATGCCCGTCAGGACAGGTTCGGAAGTTAAGAGGAGCCTGTTAAAAACATCTGCGTTGCAGGCTACCCGGAAAAAATTTCGGGCGTAGTTGAGCCGAAACATCCTAATGTGTTTGTTGCGGGCTTCTGCCGCATCTTCGGACAGTTGTCCAATGGGCAGAATTGCTTCCCTTACCTCTGAAGCTCCATGACTAGAGGATTCAATCCCGGCCCATTTTTCCAGTCCCGGGATTTCGGGATTATCTAAAGTCAATCCCGGGATCCCGGGACAGTCCCGGACGGATAGAAAGAAGTAACAGAAAGACAGTAATTTATATATCAAAATCAACTATTAATCATCAGTTCAATCTACAAAAAACGAAACAAAAATAATATTTTCTTCTAATAAAATAATAAACAAACAAACAAGAAACTTCTTTACTTAGTGTAATAGTTTGTTTATTTTGATTCACATAAAATCTTTAAAAATCAACTTCTAAACACTTGTTTAGATAAAAATTAAAAATGACTTAATTCTAAAGAGATCAGTAATACAAGGTAATTTATAAATCATTTCTTTCAACTTCGAGAAAGCTTGCTTCTTAATTTGTTGCACAAATATGAAGAGGCAGAAAAAGCGCGCTCAGGCTCAATGGAAGTTGGAGGAATCGTCAATAATTTTTTATAAGTCTTCTCCAAATTATAACCTTGTGTGGAACTAGCTTCATAAAGATTCATTTCTGGTTTAATGATCTCAAAAAGATCCGTTAGCAATTACAAATGAAATCAGATGTGTAAACAAGATGGCCGTTAAAACTTCTAACGTGCGTTTCGCTTCGTTTCATGCATATTTTTATTCTATATCACAAAAATGAATCTCAAAATGCATTGGTAAGAGCATAAATTCCAATCCCGAAAATCCCGGGATACTTAAAAAATAATCCCGAAAATTACGGGACCGAAATTTGATCGGGATCCCGGGATCCCGGGCTTCGGGATCCCGGGATCGAATCCTCTACCCATGACGCAACACTTTATGCAATGTCGGAGACATTGGGTAAAACTTAAATACAAAGAAACGTACAACTTTGCAGTTTCTTGGCAATATCTTTCAAACATCTCGCAGTTTATTTTTAAACCACAGCCCAATGTGTCCAATATCACTTTTAATCTATAAATTAAATTTACGTCTATCCCCGTAATTGTCGCTGATACTTCGAAATTTTGAAAAATACGTCGGCTAGTGTTTTCGTCGTTGGTATTTCCAAAGTTGGGTTTTGGTATATCCACCAACAGACCGAGTTTCTCCCGGAACTTATCTTGGATTTCTTTTTTTTATTTTCCACTGCTTGCTTTTTCTCGGCAGTAAGGCGAACGTTCCATTTTTTACGGGCAATCTATAGGCCACATGTAAAATGCTCTCAAAAAATCTTATCTGAGCATGCAACAAAGATAAGCCAAATTCTAGGTTTTCTTTTTTGCATGGTCTCTCCTTCTCCAAATCATTAAACTGTAATGACGTGCATACAAATAAACGATAGACGGAATCTATGGCATGAATTACATTTATTACGCTTGACCGACCGGGACTTCCAAGCCATATACGACAGATTAATTTACAAATTGCAAGATTTCGAATACTATGACAAATTACATCAATCGCTAAATCCCACCAACAGGGAGGATTTAGTCTAAAACAATTTCATATAATTTCGCATTGCAAAAGCTGCAAAAGTAACCGACGCGATAACAGTCTTTGTGAAAAGACACACAATCATAATATATAAACGTGTTCACCGAATATAAAAACAAGGACGCACACTTGGAACACATGTGATAACAGATGCGGCGGGGCGAGTAGAACTGGACCCGAATCTTGACTCAGTAAGTCGGCACTTGGCGAAGATCTTCGTAAAAGACACGCAGACGTTCAGCGGTCATCTCCTCGTCGAACAGGTCAATGTCGTCCGACTCGAACAAGGTGCGGCGGAGCGGGGGGGGG